CCCCCCATCCCCCTTGTCCCCCCTTATCCTCTCCCCCTTCCCCCCGGGGTTCTCCCGCACCCCCGCACAGGGCAGCGCCGCCCACTGCCGCACGGGGGCGCTGCGGGGCAGGTCGGCCACAACGCACGAACGGTCCTGCCGCGAGCCCGCCGCCGCGGGGCGCCATGGGAGCTGTAGTCCTGCGCGGGGTGCGCCGGGAGGCGGGAGGAGAGGGAGGGGGGGGTGCACTGGCGCGGGGCACGCCGGGAGCACTTCCGTTTCCGGCGGCCGCCTGAGCGGAGCCCGCGTAAGCGCTCCGAGCGTCGGTGAGGCCGCGCGGAGCCGGAAGCGGAACCAGGAGCAGCCGGAAGCGGAGCGCGCAGGGCCCGCCATGGCCCTCATCTGCTCCAGTGAGCGGGGGGCCGCCCGGGGGGGGCGGCGGCGGTGGGGGGACGAGGGGACGTCGGGACCACGCCGTGACCTGCGCCGCCCCCTACGCTGTCCCCGCAGTCTCCAACGAGGTCCCCGAGCACCCGTGCGTGTCGCCGGTGTCCAACCACGTGTACGAGCGGCGGCTGATCGAGAAATACATTGCGGAGAACGGCACCGACCCCGTCAACAACCAGCCCTTGTCCGAGGAGCAGCTCATCGACATCAAAGGTGGGAGGGCACGGGGGGACACCGGGAGTCCGGCCCCGAGCTGCCGGGGGGGGACACGAGGGGCTGTGGTGAAGGGCAAGGAGCTGAGGGTGCATCTGTGTTGGCAGTTGCCCATCCCATCCGGCCCAAGCCACCGTCGGCCACCAGCATCCCGGCCATCCTGAAGGCGCTGCAGGATGAGTGGGTAAGTTGCAGAGAACTGAGGTGTGGGGCTGAGTGCTTCCCCCTGACTTCCCTTCTGGTGCCCTGGTAGGATGCCGTCATGCTGCACAGCTTCACGCTGCGCCAGCAGCTGCAGACCACACGCCAGGAGCTGTCCCACGCGCTGTACCAGCATGATGCTGCCTGCCGTGTCATCGCACGGCTTACCAAGGAGGTCACTGCTGCCAGAGAAGGTGAGCTTGGATGAAGGGGGCTACAGAACTCAAGGAAAAGAGAACCGTAGAACCATAGAATGGCCTGGGTTGAAAAGGTCCACGATGATCATCTAGTTTCAACCTCCTGCTCCGTGCAGGGTCGCCAGCCACTAGACCAGGCTGCCTGGAGCTGCATGCAGCCTGGCCTTGAATGCCTCCAGGGTGGAGGATGGAACTCATAATGTTTCTCTGCTTTTGCAGCTCTGGCCACGCTGAAACCACAGGCCGGCCTCATCGTGCCACAGGCAGTGCCATCCTCACAGCCTAATGTGTCGGTGAGTTTCTTCTACTTCACCATGCGTGTCTCTTCTGTTTCCTACCTGCATATAACTGAGCTCTTCTCTGCCCCACACAGGGAGCCGGGGAGTCCATGGACCTGGGTGAGCTTGCAGGCATGACCCCTGAGATTATCCAGAAGGTAAGGACTTGTGCTATCTGTGCTGCTCCAGCTCTCAGCTGCTCCTTGTCCTGATGCTGGGAGAACCCAGGTTGGCTGTAACCACTGTCATTGTGTCTCGTAGCTTCAAGACAAAGCCACTGTGCTGACCACAGAGCGCAAGAAGGTGAGTGGCCACATTTCATGCCTACATTTCACATTCAAGATACCACAGTGATCAGGACATGGCGTGTTCCAAGAGCGACAGATGTTCATCCTCACACCATTTTCTGTTTGCAGAGGGGCAAGACAGTGCCAGAGGAGCTGGTGAAACCAGAGGAGCTCAGCAAGTACCGGCAGGTCGCCTCGCATGTGGTGAGTTTCACAGTGTTCTCAAAAACTCACCCTCTGTTGCTGGGCAGTATCCAAACCCACAGTTCTGTTGCTCGTCAGTGCCAGGGTGGTCATGGCTCTCTCCACGTAGACCAGTGCTGCAGTGGAGGTGGCTTCCAGCAAAACCCCTTGCAAGACCTTTTGGGTTCCCTTTGGGGTATTTTCCTGCTTGTGGCACCAACCTGGCCTCTTTCTGCCTCACACAGGGGCTGCACAGTGCCAGCATTCCAGGAATCCTGGCCTTGGACCTTTGTCCTTCCGACACCAACAAGATCCTCACCGGTAAGGGAACAACCTCCACACTCTGGGGTCTTTGTTGTCAGCACAGACCCTTCAGCTTTCTGGAAATGGGGCCCTTTCTCTGACCTTCTGTGAGGTGGGAGTGAGCAGAGGCGTAAGGAATTCTCTTGGCTCATGTCCTGAGAGCTTCTCAGGACAGAGATCTCAAAGAGCAGCAGGTGGATGTTGAACTTGGCCAGCCACAAGTCTCATCTCTGATAGTTCCCTGCTTTGTTTGCTAGGTGGGGCTGATAAAAATGTCATCGTCTTTGACAAGAGCTCGGAGCAGATCTTGGCAACACTCAAGGGCCACTCGAAGAAGGTCACCAGTGTCGTGTTCCACCCATCACAGGTGTGCTGCTGCCCACTTCAAGCTTTCCCTTCCTGCCTGTAAAGGAGCTCGCAAACAGAGACACGGCACTGTTTTGATGTTAAACTTCCTGCTTTATCCCTTTATCTCTAGGATTTGGTGTTCTCAGCTTCTCCTGATGCCACCATTCGGATCTGGTCTGTGCCCAACGCTTCCTGTGTGCAGGTTGTCCGTGCCCATGAGGGCTCTGTGACAGGGCTCAGCCTGCATGCCACGGGTGATTACCTTCTGAGCTCTTCTGATGACCAGGTGAGAGCCAGCCTGGGCTCAGGGCACATGGACACCCTGCTTGGTCACTGCATGCTCAATGCCATGCATGTCTCTTCCAGTACTGGGCCTTCTCAGACATCCAGACGGGCCGTGTTCTCACTAAGGTGACAGATGAGAGCTCTGGCTGTGGTAAGGCCAGGAGTACCCATGCTGTGGGGCTCTTCTTCCCTGGGAGTTCCTGGTAGCAGGGTTCTCACAGGACAGAGCCTCTCCAACCCTTGTATATCTCTCTATCTCTGCAGCTCTCACCTGCGCCCAATTCCACCCAGATGGGCTCATCTTTGGAACGGGAACGATGGATTCTCAGATCAAGATCTGGGATCTGAAGGTAGGACTGGCCCTGGCAGGCAGGGGTTGGGCAGTGGGTACTGTGTTCTGCACAGATCTCTGGGTGCCCCCTGGAGTGACAGCCCTGTGGCTTTCCTCATCCTTGCTTCCCTGGGCGTGTGCAAATTCTGTTGTCTTTGTGCGCTGTTGTCTCTCTCCTCGCCAAGCTGTTGCCCTGGGGAAGCAGAGGATGCTTGAGGCCCATGTTTGACCCTCCTGTCCCCAGGAACGCACCAACGTGGCCAACTTCCCAGGGCACTCTGGCCCTATCACCAGTATTGCCTTCTCTGAGAACGGCTACTACCTGGCCACAGCTGCGGACGACTCCTCTGTCAAGCTCTGGGACTTGCGTAAACTGAAGAACTTCAAGACGTTGCAGCTGGACAATAACTTTGAGGTGTGGTGGCTCCCTTGTCCCAGCGTTGGCCACCCTAGCACTGCTTCTTTGCTCTGCTCAGGGTGCTGGAGGATAGACAGGGTGCTGCACGTCTGGCACGGTGTCTGGAGCTTTCTGGGCCTGGCCTGAAGCTTTGTTCCTCTGCTCCTCCCCAGGTGAAGTCTCTCATCTTTGACCAGAGCGGCACCTACCTGGCACTGGGTGGCACAGACGTCCAGATCTACATCTGCAAGCAGTGGACAGAAATCCTCCACTTCACTGGTGCGGGGCTGTGGGAGGGAGCATGGGGCTGAGAATGGCGGGGAAGCCTCTCCCACCTCTTTATGACATAACCATATGTTGTCTTCCCTCTGCAGAACACAGTGGCCTCACCACAGGGGTGGCTTTTGGCCACCATGCCAAGTTCATCGCCTCCACAGGCATGGACCGCAGCCTGAAGTTCTACAGCCTGTAGCCTCGGGTGTGGGGCTGGCAGCGCTCACTGCAGTGCTGGGATTTGGGGGAGGGAGGGGGGTTGGGTGGGAGGGATTTCCTTTCTCCTTTAGATTTCCTTGCTATTACTGTTGGCAGAAAGGGGGGGGGGTTAGTTGGATGTCACCCTCCCCATGCTTCATGGATTTGTTGTTTTAGTTTTCTTTTCCAGTTTCGTGTTGATCTTTCTGGCTTTAGACTCTCTTCTGTGGCTGTAAGTGGTACACTTGAAAGGCTCCAGCCTGTACCCCGGTGGATAGTTGTGACGGAGGGATGGGGGATTGTGCAGTTTTGTAAGCAGTTATCTAGTTTCAGTACACAAATAAAGAACTATTCACCATAGCCCTGGTCAGCATGGTGAGGGTCAGGGTGCAAGGGGATCCAGAACAGACCTGGTTCTGCTGGTGTTCCATCCCTCCCTCCCCACCTTCAGCCCACATCACTCCCATCCCACAAATGCCACCACTAGTCTTTGCCAGTTGCTGATTTATTGTTCCCACTTGCCCCCACCAGGACCAGAGCATTGGGGCTCTGTCCTGACCAGGAGGAGGAACAAAGAGGCAGCAGCACACGCTTAAGGTCTTCCCCCTGCAGGACCCTTCGGCAAGACGATGCATCCCCAGGAGGTGACTGTGCCCAAGATGTCTGATGTCTTCCTGTCCCCTGCAGCTCGTCGGGCCCCTGGGGAGAGGGGTGCAGGGGTTGGTTTGAGAAAGGCAAGGGCAGGTAGGGCCCCCCACTGCAGCCCCACTCACGGGAAGGCATGGCCACTTGACAGGAGGGCCGGCAGGGCTCGGGCTGGGACAGGTGGCACACTGAGGCACTGCACATGATGTACACCTGTGGGACACGGTGCCACGTCACACCCGGTGTCATGGTGGGTTCCCACTGAGCGGGAGGACCCCCCTGCCTCACCTCTCCCTCCAGCACCACCATGGAAGGGCTGTCCACAAAGGCAAAGGTGGAGATAGCAAAGCGCTGGTAGTGGCTGGGGAAGGGCAGCTGCAGTGTGGCAGGTCCCACCGGCACCAGCTGTGTCCTGTAGTTGTCCCCAGCAAAAGGGCACCTGAGGGATGACCGAAGACCCTGTGTCAGCGTAAGCGAGCCCTGCCAGCAACCCCCTTCCCCATCTGCTCACCCGTCCACCAGGATGGGCCACTGGGGCTCAGCTACTGGGCTGGTGCTGGGAGCTGCCCAGCACTGGTGCAGCACCAGCACCAGATTGGGGTCGGTCTTCTGCAGCAGCCGCACCTCCACATAGATGGGGTCCCGCAGCACCTTCACCAGCGGGTAGTCGGTGTCAGGGTGGTAGGAGCTGTAGCTCTCATCTACGGGAGGGTTTGAGGCTGAGCAGGGCACAGGGCTGTGGGAAGGCGTGGGGGTGGAAGGTATGGGGATGGGAAGCACAGGGATTGAGGACAGTGTGGTGAGGGTGTGGGAATGGGGGACGGGGGATGTGAGGATGGAAGTCATCAGGAGCGGGGGGCACAGAGATGGGGTTGGAGAGTGGGGGATGGAGAACTGGGGTGGGCTCACCAGTGGCAATGCGCAGCTGCAGCTGGAGCGGCCCCGGCTGTGCCAGAGGAGCAGCAGTGGGGGGCACAGCCACCTCCAGGCTCAGTGGCAGCAGCTCAGTGGCATTGTAAATGCAACGGGCGTGGAGGCTGTGGGGGGACAATAGGGTGAGCAGCACTGTGAGTGTCACCATGCCCCCCACCCATCATCCCCTTACATGTAGACGCTGTCACGGGTGACAGAACCACGGGGCCCTGGCTGGACATCAATGGTAGAGATGAGCTGGTTCTCGTAGACCAGCCGGTCCTCAATCACCTGGAGAGGGGGGGGCACATGCTGGTCAGGCTCCCACTTGGCAGTCGGGTAGGAGAGGGGACTCAGGGCTGTACCCCCACCTGCACAGTGGTGCCACACTGCGTGACGGGGAAGTGGAAGAGGACAAAGGCATCAGAGGTCCGGGCAGGCTGGCAGCCAGGCTGGGTGCTGGCCAGGCGCACGCTGTCCAGGTTGTAGGGCTGCGCCGACAGCCCCCGTGGCACCACCAGCACGAAGTGGCCCTCGGGCAGGCACTGTACGGTGGCTGTGGCACACAGAGGTGCAGTCATGTGCTGCAGTTGGCCATAGCAAGCAATGGGTTGCCTGCTGCTGAGCCCTACCTGTGTTGCCGTAATAGCAGGGCGTCGCACGGTCTGTGTCATCAAAGCAGCAGCCTGCCTGCAGGCACGCATCACGGCCCGGCGGGGACACACAGGACAGCCTCCCCACTGCTACCTGGCACTGCTCCCGTGTCAGAGGCTCACCTGGGGCAGGGAGCACTCAGCAGCACACGTGCCCACAGCGAGCAGCCCCCTGCTCGACCTCAGCAACCTTCTGCCCACCTCCAGCATCTCCCTGCCCACCCTTCTGCCCAAGTATCCCTGTCAACCCACAGCATCCTCTTCCCCAGGCATCTTCCTTCCAGCCTTAAGCGTCCACCTGCCCACACCAAGCACCCTCTGCTCACTCTCCTGTCCAAGCATCCCCCTAGCGTTCTCTGGGGAGGGGATTCCCCTGCCAACCCAAACCATCCTGCCCACTCCAAGCATCCCCCAGCCCAACATGACTAACCACCTACCCAACCCAAACGTATCCCTGCCTATCCTTCTGCCCAAGCATTTTCCTGTCTGACCACAGCATTCTCCTGCTCAACTTTCCCAAAGTATCCCTGTGCCTATCCTGAGCATCCCCCTGCCCAAATATCTGTAGCCCACCCCAAGCATCCTTGTGCCCACCTTCCTCAGATACCCTCCACCCACTCCCAGCACCCCTTAAGTCTCTATGCACAGGTACACCCCCATCCCATTCTATCCACTTACCTGCCCCCGCTGAGGAGTAGAAGAGAGCCGTGGGATGCAGCAGCCCAGGCTGGGCTTGGGACTGCAGCCCTGGGCTCACCAGCCCTGGTCGTGGTGGCAGCCCTGGGCGCAGCAGCCCTGGTCGGGGCTGGCTGGGTTGCAGCAGCCCTGCTTGGCTCTGAAGGCTGGAGTGCAGGAGGCTGCCCTGGGCGTGGGACTGGAGGCTGGGGAGAAGCAAGCCCAGCTGGCTTTGGGGCTGGAGGCCTGGACGGACAAACCCTGCCTGTGTATGAGTGCTGGTGTGCATCAAGCCAGGCTGCAGCCCAGGTTGCACTAAGCTAGGCTGGTTTGGGGGCTGGAGACTTGAGTGAAAAAGACCTGCTTGGGTTTGACTGCTAGCATGCACCAGCCCAGGCTGGTTCTGGAGCTGAGAGCCTGGGCGAAGGACACCCGGTCGGGTTTGACCCCCTGGATGCAGTAATCCATGCTGGTTTGGGGATTGAAGACCTGGGTGAAGGATACCTGGGCGGGTTTCACTCCCTGGGCGCACTAATCCATGCTGGTTTGGGGACTGAAGACCTGGGCGAAGGATACCAGGTCGAGTTTCACTCCCTGGGCGCACTAATCCATGCTGGTTTGGGGACTGAAGACCTGGGTGAAGGATACCTGGTCGAGTTTCACTCCCTGGGCGCACTAATCCATGCTGGTTTGAGGACTGAAGACCTGGGCGAGGGATACCTGGTTGTGTTTGATACCCTGGGTGCACTAATCCATGCTGATTTTGGGACTGAAGACCTGGGCGAAGGACACCCAGTTGGTTTTGACCCCCTGGGTGTGCTAATCCATGCTGGTTTGAAGATTGAAGGCCTGGACGAAGGACACCTGGTTGGGTTTCACTCCCTGGACGCACTAATCCCTGCTGGTTTTGGGACTGAAGACCTGGGCGAAGGACCCCTGGTTGGATCTGACTTCCAGCATGCACAAACCCAGGCTGACTTTGGGACTGAAGACCTGGATGAAGGAGACCCATCTGGGTTTGACCACTAGCATGGATCATCCCAGGTTGGTTTTGGGGCTGGGGTCTTGGATGCTCCATGCCGGGCTGAGGCTGGTGCTGCAGCTCTGGGTGCTCCAGGATGGGCTGTGTGTGTGCCACAGGGTGACTCTGCCCCATGGGGACTCTGGGGGGCTGCTGGGGGCGGGGGATGGCCAGGGCAGAATGGGCTATGTGCTGCAGGAGGCCGGGCCGTGGCCGGGGGATGAGGACATCGACACCGTGACTTGGCAGGGCGCCGTTGCCCCGGTCGGGCTGGTGGTGGCCATGCATGTTCTCATCTCGGAGGATCTCATAGCCAGCTAGCCGTGGGCACGTCATGTTCACCTCATAGGAGGCAGCCACCACCCCACTGAGCAGCATCTCCTCCAGCTGCACCCTCAGCACATAGTGACCATCCTGTGGCAGGGAAAGCAGGAGGTGTAACCCCATCTCATCTCACCGGGTGCCCCACAAGCAAGCACAGCCTCACCTTCAGCAACACGTGGCAGCCCTTGTAGCCAGCTGAGAAGGCAAACCCACCGTCCTCCACAGTGTTGAGCCAGTGCAGGCACACGGAGCAGTTGGCCACTTCGAAGCGGGTGCCAAACTCATCTGCGAGGACACGGGGGCAGTGAGGCTGACCCCATCCCACTCCCCTCATGCTGCCATTGGATGCCCATCACTCACCCAGGACCTTGAAGCGCATGGTGCGGCCATGCGTGGGGAACGCCAGCAGCTGCATGCCAAAGTCCCCACAGTCGTAATGGAACCGCGGCAGTGCCAAGCCAGAGGGCAGCCATGCGGGCAGCAGCAGCAGCAACGGCAGCAGCAGGGAGCAGCTCCAGCCCATCTCAGCACTGAGCACAACACGGAGCTTCCCGTGAGTCTCCTCCATTTATACCTGGGCTACAATCAGATGACCGAGGCGTCAGCAAAGTGATGGGAGGAAGCGAAAGCTGTTTGAAGGCCGGCATGTCCTGTGTCCTGCAAATGGGGAATTGAGATCTGGTCCTAGACCAAGAAATGGGGCTGAAGCAGCACTGTGCTGGCATAAGACCCCACAGCTCCATGGTGTATGCCATCCGGCTCCCTGTTGGCCACGGGAGCGTGCCAAGGAGTCCATAGAGCAGTCCTACAACAGGGACATCTTCCACCAGGTTGGGCTGCCCCAAGCCCTGTCCAAGTGCTCTCACGGCCAGGGGTGCCCCCACACACAGACCCAGGTCGCTCTGCCCCACTCATGGTGCCACAGGGGAACCGAAAGTCATTTGGAGATCACGGTGCCCCACAGCTGTCATGGGCTCAGGGAAATGCTCCTGCAAATGGGGAATTGAGACTGCTGCTCCCAGCAGGGCACAGGGGTCCCTGGACATCCCTTGGCTCAGTCATCACCCCACACTGCACTGGTGCCGTTGCCAGCAGTGCTCCAAGGTGCTCAGCTGTGGGGTGCCCACTGTCACTGAATAGAGGGGGCACAAAAACCTGGAAGTGAATTGTGCCCAGGCTGGAGGTGTGGGAAGTGCTCCATGGGGCTGGGAAGGACCTTGCTCCTCAGGTTGCTGCTGACAGCAGCATTTCATGTTTCTCCTGTGTGCTCCCCCCCCCCCCCCCTCCAGCCCCAGTTTCTCTTCTGGGTCCTGCTCTTAGTGAAGCTTAAATTCTCTCACCCTGACCCCAGTCCTGCTTTGGGGTCACAGCCGGCTCCAGACTTGCTCCAAGCCTACGAAGACCCAAGGAGCCCTGGAGCTCAGCCATCAAGCCCCAACCGTTGGAGCCAGGCACCCATGGGGCAACATTCCCCCTTCCACGGGAGGATATAGGATGATTTCTGAGCCAGGACTGCATAGAGACACTCAGCTCAGCAGGAAGAGAACATGGATCAATGAGACTTGGGCTCAGTTTTCCCTTTTCTTGGAGAGCAACTCCAGATGTAAAATCCCACTCCAGAGCTGAGCACAAGAAACGTGACTGCTGCTGCTCCTTGCCCAGCACGCTCACACCCAGGTCAAAGGGTCTCATTAATCTCCACCAAGACTCATTAACTCCCAACGTGCCCCCCAGTGAAACCATTGCCTTTATTGAGCAGCTCACAGCTTGATAGCAGGAGCGGGGCTCAAGTGCAGCTCCAAGAACTGCACGATCTCCTGCCACGAGTGCTGCTGCGCCCTGGCGTGGGGCTGGGGCTCTCCGCCCCACACCACAGGCAGAGGGCTGCCACGCAGGCTGGAGATGCTGCAGAGGGGTGAGCCGGGGGGCTCGATGAGGTGGCCAGCCCCAGGGTAGGACAGCAGGCGGTAGGCATCCTGTGGCAGGCGTTCTGTGGCCAGCTGGGCGAAGAGCTTGCTGTTGAAGCTGCGATCAGCCTCACCCACCACAAAGAGGACTTTGCCTTGGATCTTCTCCACTGGGATGGCCGAGGAGCTGCAGGCTGGGCTGCGCGGGTCGGCGAAGATGGCAGAGTTGTCCATGGCACCCAGCTCGGTGAAGAGCATGCGCTCGGTCTGATAGGGGATGGAAGGGATGCGGAGGCCCTTGTAGAGCAGCGGGTTGCCGTAGAGGAAGGTTGTGCCGTTGATCCACACTGTGGCCACCACTTGTGGGAGGAAGGCGGCCATGGCCAGAGCCACCTCAGCCCCTTTGGACACACCAATGACACCCAGCCCTGGGCCTCGCACCTGCAGGGGGAGAGAAGAGGGAGGGGGTGGTGGCACTGATGGGATGGTTCTGGGACAGCCATGATCACTGGGGAAGCCCTGCTCATGAGGAGGCATCTCAGGACCTCCTTGTGCACCGTGGCATCATCTCTGGTCATCAAGACATCCCTGGTCAGCAGGATGCCCCCAAATTCAGGATGGCCCTGCCCATGGGGACATTGCTCTCAGACATACGGTGTAGTTCTTGGATGGTCTGCACAAAGCCAGGAATTTGATTCCACGACCCTTAGTGGGTCACTTCCAACTTGGGATGTTCTGTGATTCTATGATCTGTGCACGTCCCCAATCACTACAACACTCCCAAGTCGCCAGGAGGATGCCCCTGGTCACCAGGACACCTCTCCTCACCACAAACTCTATGATCACCAGGACAGACCCAGGATGATCCCAGCCCTTCATACATCCTCATTCATCAGCATGTCCCTGTTTGCTGAGGCTGCCCACCACAGCACAGCACAGCACTCACCTTGGGGTGCTGCAGGAGCAGCTGGACAGCCTCCTCGAAATAGTCCAGGTCGAGCTGGGTTAGGCCTTTCGGGAGGTCCTCATAGGCGAAGAAAGCCAAAGCCAGCACTGCAAAGCCCCGGCTGGCCAGCAGCCCAGCTCGGAACTCAATGAGACCACCCGCACCCCCAAACAGGTCGATCACTGCTGGAAAGGGCCCTGGGCCTGCAGGTAGCAAGGAACCCAAAACCATGAAGGGTGCCACCAGCCCTCGCCACCACACCGCAGTACAAACCCAGACTGGGGGTCTTTCCACGCAGGATCCATCACCAGAGGGTGCCACCAGCCCATTACCATCCCATACCAAGGGGGTGCCACCAGCCCCACGGCCACCATCCCACAGCCCAAACCCAGCTTCGGGGTCTTCCCACAAAGGAACCCCCACCTCTAGCTCCAAGCCACAAGGGCAGCGACCCAGAGACCCTTTGGGGCTGCTCCTGCCCCCAGCACTCACCTGGTGGCAGCAGCAGGGCCCCCCGCACCCTCCCCTCGCGGATGGGCACCCGCTGCACACCAGGGCCCACGTACCACCGTTCGGCGGTGCAGGTGGCCAGAGGCTCATCCTGCTGCCCCGACACCATGCGGAGGCCATCAAACACCTCCAGGTGGACGAGGAAGGGGCTGCCCATCACATCGCGCTTCACCAGGCGCTTGAAGAGGCTGTCAGGCTGCAGGAACCAGAAGAGCCCCATGGGCCAGACACCGGTGTAGTTGCCCCCCAGGGCAGCATGTCGCCCAACATCCACCTTGCCCTCCTCATCAGAGCGGTAGAATGCACGTGCTTGGAAGCGCTCGCCATGCTCATCCGTCAGCCAGGAACGCAGAGTCACCAACTGCGAGGGAGCCAGTCCAGAAACCACCACCTGCACCATCTGGTCAGCCAGTGAGGAGCTCGGCGTCACCATTACCTCCACCATGGTGCACCTGGGGACAGCAGCACGGCACCAGCACATCGATGTGCTGCTCCAGGATCCGCCCCCAGGAACCCCTTCCCTACTCACCTCCACCTCCTCTCCTCAGCACTGGCTACAGAAAGCTCTAGTCCCGCTGTCTGGCACTCACCCCCTTTCCAGAGAGCTGGGAGCCCTGCGTGGCCCCACCCAGGGAGGTGTGCACCCACGCACCACACTGGAAAACCTTCTGCGTGCCCCAAAGCCACGTGGAGAGGACCCAAGCCCCTCTTACCCCGCAGCGCAGGCAAAGGTGAAGTCAATTGCTGTGCCCTGGAGACTGGCAGCACTTCGCCACCCCAGCAATCATTAACCCAGGAAGCAGCAGGAATACAGCCGTGAGGCTGATGACCCACAGTTCTGCCACGCCCCATGGCAGGCTCCTCAGCCCTTCCCCTGCTGGGGGGTGGGGATGCAGCAGTGGGGAGCTAGCTCCACCTGCCCCAGTGGAGAACCTATAAATGTTGCATCTAGTTAACTCCCCATGCTTCCCTCTGTCCAGGGTGCACGGGGATGGCTCCCTCCAGCAACTGCTTGTTCAGCACAGCACAGGGAAACACAACCAGAAGGAAAAACGCAGGAATAGGCGTTCATAGGGCAGGAAATCTAACCACAAACGTGAAGAGGTGCACATGGGCTTCCAGCTCCAACCTCCTTCATTCTTCCCACCTCCCTACTGTCTCCCAGCCCAAGAGAGGAGGCAGGAGGCTGCAGTGTGCTCACTTGCTCTGCGACATGGTGGAGGTGTCCCCACCCCAGCGCTCATTTTCAGGAGCAAGGCCTCTCCTAGAGGAAATTAAGCCCCAGGGGCAGGGGCCATGGTGCCCTGTGACCCCAGAAGAACAGAAGCCTCTTTGAAGGCGAGGCTGGAGCAATTTCCCTTTGCTTTTAATAAAGAAAAGGTAGATTTGAGCAGTTCTCAGTCCAGCACCAGGCACTGACAACGACCTGCTTTACAAGACAGGGCACGCAGCAGCTGGATCCTTTTCCATCCTGCTGTCCATTCCGAGCTGAGGCCCCAGAGAGCAGCAGGACCTGCAGAACTCCAGCCTCACTGTGCAGCTGCTTTGCACTTCACAGGTGCCTTCTGGAGCATGCCCAGCGTGTCCCGCTTCTCCACCCTGCGCAGCTGCTTCTTCTTTGCCCGCTTCAGCTTCATTGGGTTGCGGATCTGGGGGGCAGAAGGCAGCTTTCAGGTAGGTGGAAAGGTGGAAAGTTTTATCCTAAAACTCCCAGGAATGTCTCTGGACTCCCCCAGCTCTTGCATGGGAGGGAAGGAACAGGAGATAATCATCCCCCTTTACCCCACCACCCCCAGGTCTCTCCAAGGTAGAGAAGCCCTACCAAAGCCTCACATGCTTGGAGCGCTGCTGCTGCCCCATATCCCATGCTCTGTTACCTCATGGGTCAACCCCAAAGTGATTTCATGGAGAGCTGCAACCATCCTCCCCCAGCCCCTCCAGAGCTGGGGTGGAGTAGGGGGAGGAACTGGAGCAGAAGTCAAACTAGAGCCCAGCATTCAGTTCTGGACTCACCACTTGAACAATCTCTGCCTTCCGCTCATTCTCCAGCCGCCTTCTGAGGTTCTCCTCCCGCCGCCGCTTCTTCTCCTGCAGGAGCAGCACCAGAATGTCCCTGCAGCTCCCACCTTCCAGCCTTAAACTTAGGCCACTGGGAGCAGAGGGGCCAGACAAGAAACTGCAGGACTATAGCAATGCGCTTGCATGCAGAAATTTGCCACACAGAGTCAAGCCATCAACACTTCCCTTCCCCTCCCTCCATGAGGCCCGAGTCTGAATTTATCCCAAAACAGCAACTTGCAGCAAGTGACTATCACAGCACAGAGCTGGCAGGACAATAGGGGACCCAATTGGAGAATCTCATGTAGCTGTGGACAGGCTTTGTGCTCACTGCAGGGCAGCAGCCCGCAAGGCTGGGATGTAGGCAAAGATGTGGAACTGTGCCAAGGGGAGGGTGAGAGCTGCCCCAGAGGGCTGGGTGATGCAGAAGGAGCTGGCCCAGCTCTCAAACGCAGCATCCTGTTACCTCTCTCTCCCTCTGCTTCGCCTCCTGAAGCTGCTGCACCAGGTCCCTCACAAGCTTCTTCTCCTGCCGCTCCTTCAGCTTTCGCTGCCACGAAGTGTGAAGAGGTTTGTCCTGCACCATGAGTGAGAACCTGGGTGGGAAGGCGGGGCTGTAATGGGGAGAGGCAGTCCTAACACCCTCCCGGCCCTCCCCAAACTTCCCGCAACTGGGACCCCTACAAGTCCTGTCACAGCTCCCCCTCCTCTCACCCCCAGCCCAAGGCTCCCAACAGCACCTGGGCCACCCCCAAAGCCCCCACATCGCTCAGGAACCACACCTTAAGCCCTCCTGGGGAGCTCCCCCACTGCAGCCCTATACCCCTCTCTATAACCCCGTACCTCTCGGCCCTCACCGGAGCACCACACAGAACCCCCCACGGCCTGGAAGCCCTCCTCCTCATTCCCACCTCTTCCTGCCCGGGTCCTTCCACACCCGCCCCGATTTGGGCCTGCCCCGGGGGATGGCCACCATCGCCGCCTCTTTCCGCTTCTTGGCGGCCTTGCGGCGGGCTGGAGCCTGGGGAACTTCAGAGACCGGACCCACGGCTGAGGTCTGGGCGAGATCGGAAACGGAGGCCGAGGCCTCCCCGCTGGGCCCCTCAGGGCCCGGGGCCGCCGCTGTACTGCACGCCTTCATCCTCCACGCGGCGCCTTTCTCGAGGCGCCGAGCGATGACATCACAACGCACTGCGCGCATGCTCAGTTCTGACTTCCATCCGCCTCCACGGCCGCCATGTTGGTGTCGGGCAGCGCTCCCAGGCCTGGTGGGGGCCGCCATATTGCAACCGACGCGCTGCCCGACCTGTAGAGAAACGCGAAGGCTCGGCTGGGGGAGAGGCAGTTTATTGGGATTTTTTGGTTCGTTTTTAAGATTTTGTAGGAGTGCGTGGTGCTGCTGCTTAGGGCTGGGCGTGGTCCGGCTCTGGGGAGCAGCAGGGATAGTGTGGGCTTCACTACAGCACCTGGAGAGGGAGAAGAAGGAGCCGTAGGGCCGGCGTGAGGGCCTGCTGAGGAGGAAGGCGGTGAGCAGAGCCCCTTACCATGCGTGTGTAACTGTACTGCTTGATGGCAGTCCAGCCGAAGGCCAGGGCCGCCACGGCTGTGCAGAACTCCAGCAGGCTGAAGAGGACGAAGATGCAGTCGAAGCCGTTGCTCAGGGCCTGGTGGCAGGAAGGCAGTTAAGCATCCTGCTGCCCCACAGCGTCTGCTGCGCCTGGCCACGGGCAGTACCTTGGTCTCAGCGCTGAAGCACCACTCCTGCCTCACCAGGAGCGGCATGCTGGCGCTGCTGCTGCAGCCGGGGATGCTGTGGGTGATGGCCACCGTGTGTATGAGCATGGCCACCAGCGTGCTGAGGATGACGGCGGCGTTGGCCACGCAACACACCTTCACCTGCATGGTTCACATCAGGAAGGGTCACCCTACAGGGACGTGTCTCCTGTCCAACCCTCTTAGCGCCTTCATGGAGGCTGTATGCAGCGGCAACACAAAGCCCTTACCAGCAGGATGTTCTCTCTTTTCTCACTTTCCACCAGGAGAGAGCCTGAAACCAGGAGCTGCTTGGAAAACACGGGAGGAAGAGAGGCAGCAGCTGGGCACAGCTTCCCATCACCCATCCCAGAGCCCCTCTAGTGTTCAGGTCTGCCCTCACCAACTCTCCAGCCACAGAAAGAATAGTGGATATGAGGTATACAAGGAACCCCCCATGACAAGGGGATCCAGCCCCATATCACTGGGCAGTAAGGGGTTGAAGCCCAATCGTGCCCTTGCATACCAGGACCCCAAGCCAAAAGAAGACTCCGCTGGCCACAGGAAGGGAGAGGACACTGTTGTTTTCTGCACAGGTCAGTATGACACCAAAGCACAAGTGGATGATGCCGGTGACGATGTGAATGGTCTGGGAAAGGACAGAAGAGAGGGGATCCCCTGTGTGCTGACAAGGATTAGCATTGCCATTATGTGCGTCCCACCCCGATCCCAGCATCAGCAGCACAATGCCGAGGAGACGTGCCCTACCACGCCACAGACTCACCCCCAGCACTTTGGGCTGTGCTCTCCTGAAGCCACTGACTTGGAAAGAAGACACGGTGGGCTGGATGGAGCCGGAGGCCAGCTGAGCTGCCCGTGGGTCTGTGTTGGGGATGACCTCTGTGATGATCCGCACGCCGCCAGATTCTGTCACCGTGGTTGCCATTACCTGCAGAGGCCCAGGGATGGGGGTGGGTCTGTGCTTAGTCCATGAATGGAGTGCCATCACCCTGATGGAGACACCTCACACCCCATCCTGCACCCCATGCCCCATCCTGCGCCCTGTACTTCACTTAGCCTGGCTTGTGCTGCTGCTCCTGGTCCCTTGGGAAGTTTAGGTGGAGTACAAGGGCTGCAGTGCTTGCTGCCCTTTGGTCCGCAGAGGAAGTTTGTTTGCGGAAGTCCTGTCAGGCCCCTCTTGCTCAATGAGGCAGCTTTGCCAAATGAAGGAAGAGAGGCTGCAAAAATAAATGAATCTGCCTTGAGTGCCCGCAGTGAGCGTCAGCGATCAGAGGAAGAGACCATTGGCCTGGCTGGTGCTTTTCTTATAGGACAAATGGGAATGAAATGACACAGCCTAAATCCTGTCAGTCCTAGGGAACCTCGTTTGCTACCTTTCTGTGTTTTTCAGGGCTCTCTCTCCCTCCCAGACACTTTGACTCCCTGTGCCTGTTCCCACTGATGGCAGTCCACCCACAATCACGAGCTGGGAGGCTTGCTCCCCTGTTGAAAGGAAGGGGGATGCAATCGTTTCCGATAGGAAATGAGAGCTCAGACTGGGAACGGAGCCACAGCACATGGTGAGAGCTCCCGAAGAGCACCCAAGGGGCCCCTTCCTCCCTCCTCGGGCCACCATGCTCTGGCTTTGCCAGAAAAACAGCCGCTTCCTCCCCGCATAGAAAAACAGCCAGGACAGTGGGGATTCTGCCCCAGGAAATCGGTGTCCCCTGCGACAGGGGCAGACATGGGGCTGCATCCCAAAAATAGCTTTTGGAAGCACCTCTTGATTTGCTTTGGCCCTAGAGCTGGGACACCTGCTCTGGCCTCACTGTGAGCCCATGGGGGCCACCTCTTGGCATCCCCATGTGCATGGGGGACCAGCAACTCCTCTATTCTCTGCTTTAGTTCACAGAGAGCTTGGGACAAGGCTAATTTGTCACACATCCCCACGATGCATTGTTTTCTGCTAGGCATGATTCTGAAGGGGTGATGACCACAGATCAGTATGCAGGATGGAGAGTAGCTTCTGTGTGGAAATGAGCCTAGAAAGTGTCCCCATGGCAATATCCTTCTGGGGAAGACACCTGGGGTCTGGAGAAGGGGCAGTTCCCCACAGCAGTTATGGGTTATATCTCATCCAGGGACGCAGCTTTCCAGGAAAAGCTGGGAGGTGGAAGAGGTCTGGTCATCAGCTGTACTCCTGGTGGCTCTTGGTGCTTGGTTACCCAGGAATGCTTCAGCACCTGTGGAAATGCCCAGATCCCCTATTTATCCTTTATACACATGTGGTGTCCCCTGTCAAGAGCAGCAGCAGCTTGCATTCCCAGCTGAAATCACTCACTGTGGTGGATTTCCTCCCAAATCCGTGCTTTCAGGCTCTGAAAGCATTCTTGGAGTTTCAGCCTTTCAGCTGGAAGCAACTGTGGCAGCTCTCATCCCAGCAGTGGGGGCTCACTGAAGTGCCTTAAAAACCCGTTTTTGAAAGAGGGATTCGTGGAGAAAGCATTCTTCTCTTTCTAAATAAAGCCAGGCCCAGCTGGGGATGGCAGGAGCCCAAGGTAGGATGTTACAATATATTTTAGAAGCAGATGCCAGAGGAGGTGAAGCTCACAGGCTGAGCAGATGCCGGGAAGCAGCAAACCCTGCATGCTGCAGGCTCTTTCCGATCCAAATCCCTGCTTTTTCCAAGGAAAACAAGTCATGATGGGTAAATGCTTTTCACAGCAAGTTTCTGCTTCCTGTGAAAAACTTTATATCCCCATAAAAATACCAAAAGACAGAATTCAGCTTTTTCTCCAGATCACTGATTACTTAAAGAGGAAGTCATGTTTTTTGGGGCAGCCCTCAGCAAACGAAAAAAAGGAAGAGCTGGCTTTCATCTCTGCACCCATTGCTCAGCAGAGAGTTGCTGCGGTGCTGCTCCTAAAGCCCATCCAGCTGCTTCCTGGTCTACTTTGACCCAGGGTTGCAGCCTGGCCAGGAGTGAAGGTTGGGTGCAGATCCCCAGCTCTTTGTGGGGTGTGCATGGACCCCACAAGAGTGCTGGCCACAGGGTGGCCAAAACACCAGCACAGAGCTGGGTGGGCGCAGGGGGACCCTTGGAGTTAGAACTTACTGTGCTGTGAGCACAGCACGAGCAGTATGATCCTTTCCCCCTGCACTCCCCCCACCTCTGGGGCTTCTCCTCCCAAACCGGCTCATTATTTTTTCAGCACCAGGCCCAGAAATAACAGAGCGAGTGAATAATCCATGAGGTTTTGGCTGAATGGTGTAAGCACTGGGAGGGGGGTGGTGAAATGAGCAAGAAAACACGGAACTTGACCCAAAACTCCTCCTGGAGGAAGGTGCAAAATACTCTCCAATGAATCTTTCTCTGCTGGGGCTTATCCTCACAGCCCCTCCTTACTGCAGGCCCCCACAGCAGTGGATGGAGTATTGAAATCTGAAAGGAGCTGTAACCTCCCCTAGCAACCCCCCCCCTCCCAGCAAAGGAGCAGAGCCGGGTCTGGTCACAGCATTTTATTATTTTATTTTCAAGAGAAAACGAAGCCAGCAGGGACTGAGCTGACAATGGAATGAGTCTGGCTGCTGTGTGGTGCCCAGCACCTGGCTGGGGTAATGGGGCAAGACCACCCCCAGTCCCTCCCCAGAGCAGCCAGGAGGTGAGAGCTGGGTGGGGTATGGAGGTCAGGAAGGGCAGGGGGGGAAGGGAACCACAACAGGGGCTAAGTTCAGGGGCTACAAAGTATGCCCCAGCCTGCAGTGCAGCAAGAGAAGGTGCCGATGCCCTGGAGATGCAGGTGGCTTCTGTGACATCCTTTCTGCCCAGCTATACTTCAGGAGCTGCCAGCTGTGAAAGAGAAGTGCTCAGAGATGGCTGTTGCACAAAGAGCTGGGGGCTCAATGCAGCCCTCCCGGAGCCCCCTCACCTCCGAGTAGCTGGGCGGCTGTGGCAGCTCTGCTTGCACCACAGCCAGGTCCACTCTGGTGGTGCTGGGCACAATCAGCATGGCCTGGAGGGAGAAAATACCATCCCATACTTATCCCCAGCCAGGGGAATGAGGACCCTGTGCTCTGCCTGCCCTGTTACCTCGTTGGGGCTGAGTCGTGTTGCTCGGCACCAGAAGTTGGCAGTGGCAACAGCAATGCAGAACTCCAGGATGGTGAAGATGAGCAGCACGATGGAGATGCCGTTCCCTGCGAGCTCCAAAGTGGGGAAAGTTCCATCAGCAGTGCCCAGTTCTTGACATCCCCCGTGCACTGAGACCTTTTCCCATCTCCCACCAGCCCTGGGTCTTGCTCTGTGTCTTTTGCCTCTCTGTTTTCCCAAAGCTCAGGCAGAACCAGGCACATGCAGGGCATGAGTCATCTCCCACAGCACCAGCTCAGTGTAGGTCGGGCAATGGCACTGTGCCCAAGGGATGATGGGAGCCCTGATAGAGCCAAGATCCCAATAGGGCTAGAGAAGTGCTCCAAAGTGCAGAGGATCCCAAAGGGCTGAACGATTCCCCCACCTACCAGGACAAGGTAGCTGTAGTAGTCATCGCTGGAGCGGTACAGCCCGTTGAAGTTGAGGTCAATGATGAAGGCGACGATGCCCAGGAGTGCAAAGATGGCACTGATGATGTTCATGGCTTGGCTTCCCTTCACCTGCAGGCATGGAGAGGCTTTTCCTGGCCCTTTTTACCCCACAGCTGTGGGTAACGTCTCAGGGCCACCCCCAGCACCACCCCGATGTAGGGATCCCAGCACTCCCTCAGCACTGCTGCTGACACAGCAGAATTAACAGCTTTGTTAATTCCCCTCTTCCCATTGCTCATTGACAGAAATAACCTCAGTACAAGCTTCAAACGGGGACACAGCTTTGCCCCAGCGGGTTCCACACCCGTACACGTGCTGCTCCCCACATCCCACTTCAGATTTGGGGGCCAGGAAGGAGGCAGGGGTTGGAGACAGACACTCACCGCACACTCTGTGGGACTCTTCTCTGCCCCAATGGACAGGCAGCCCGAGATGATGAACTGCGCCAGGAGAGGGGAGGGGGGCACTCAGTCCCGTGTCCCCAGACCCACAGAACACCCCCCAGCTTCCCCCATCTCCAGAGGAAGTGGGGGGGGCCGGCAGGCAGCCCCCAGCCCCCATGCTACGCACAGACACACCGCCCAGGAAGGGGATCTCGCCGGTGATGAAGATGGAGGAGTAGACATTGGTGAGCGTGGTCAGGACGATACCGAAGCCAATATGCATGAAGCCAGTCATGATCTGGATAGTCTGAGGGGACGGAGGGTCAGGGCTGAGCCCCCCCAGGGCAGCCCCTGAGCTTTAGGGCTCCAACCCTGTAGTTTAGGAAGGGGTTCCCACATCTATGGAATCCATGCATGGGGGACGCATCCCTGCTGTGTGCTGTGCTGGGGGAGGCACGCAGCCCCTGTGCTCCTCATCCCCCCACCTCCAAGCCAAGGGTTAACCCTTCCGTGCCCCCAGCCCCCCCCTATGCCCAGGGTTAACCCCTGTGTTCCCCCAGCTCCACTGGGAGCTTCCCTCACCACGGTAGCATGGGAAGGGAGAGGGAGGAAGGTCCCTGTGACCCCCACCAACACTACGGTCTGGGGGCACCCACGAGGATGGGGAACCTCTCAGGGACGGGGAACTTCTCAGGGATGCTAAGGATGGGGGCATTTTGGAGAGGTACAGCAGGGGTACGAGGAGTTGCAATGGAAGTGT